CAGTTCACTCATAATAAATTAGTCCAGTACCAACCGCCGTTTCAATAACACCCCTACATTACAGCTACAAATGGCCGCTCGGCTGGAGAGGTGTCGACTATTGTTATAGATTTAGGGCATTAAAATAGACGTGTTAAGGGGACGCCTCGTGATTTGCGTAAACTTTAGCATTACTAATTCTATTGTTACCAAACAAATACAAACGATTAATCAGAGGAATTGAAGTGATTATAAACGTCCATTGCACTGTTGTATTTTGCTTGGATGATATATGTTTGGACAAGAAGGTATAGGATATAATTTTAATATTCTAAAACATTTCTTTCGATACCTTGAAACGAAAAAACAAAAAACAAAAGACCACGTCAAAAGATAGACGTCTCAGTCGCAATGGTAAAAACAAAAATCCGCGGGAAAGAGTCCCAAGCTTTCATTATCAAGACAATAGTTGGCTCGTTGGCGTTCAAACGCTCCCCCTTTACGTCGCCGCCGGCTCACATAAAACTTTTATTTGTACGTCAGTCTGTCTCGACGGCGTGCATTCTCAAACTACCCACTCTATTCTCGTCTTCGCAATAACTAGCGCGAAATTCTCAGCAATACTGCTCACCGCAGAAACACCTCCAAGTTTATTATCGAAACAATAAGTTATTTGCGACAGGCGCACGTTATTAGACGGTTCCGGTAACACTAATGAGTACGGACTGTCAGCTGATGCATTATTAATTGTATAGAGATTGTACCAGAGTGTGTTATTGTACTATACTAATTAATATACTGTTCAACATTAGTTTTACAAGAATTTGGACACATTTTAATTACACGTCGTCTATTCTGTGATGTAATCAAGCGGCGTATCATGTTGCAGTGGAGGAGTTAGAGTGCCTAGCGACATGGAAGGAAGGCAGCCTGCGCTTCTTGGTAGGCAAACTGCACCACGGACACGCAACCACCAATGAGGACCGCTACCGCTGCTTCGTATACGAGAAGACCAGCGGCATCGGTAATCTATTTATATTTTTCTCTTAACTAATTTGATTAGGTGAATAAGGATTAACGTTTCCAAGAAGAAATGTTTTAGCTTATGTGCAAGCCATATCAATAAAAAAATCCAGTTTATAAAGTCAAAACATATTTAGAAAAAGAAAAGAAGTTTTCTAAATAGCTTTTGTTTTAGCAGAAAGTTTAATCGCAATCTGATAAATGACAAGGAGCACTAGAAACCAAATGTGTTGAGCAAAAATAAATTGTATTTATTGCCCATTCCAGGATCCAGTATTCCTATGAAGGAGAGTCCGACGGCGGCGGGCGGCGTGGAGTACCGCGTGGCGCAGTCGGGCGACGCCACCTGCAACGGACTCTTCAGCGCCACAGAGGGCTCCCGGACTATGGCGCTCAAGAGAGGTATACTCCAAACTTACTGCATTACTTCTGACAAGACTTCTTTACGTAACCCTTCTACGACTATTATCAACCAATTGAGAGGTCTTCGTTACTTGGTACTTTCTTTTAAATGTATCAGCTTGTGTACACATAAATGTTGTTGTGTTCCAGTGTCGGTGCGCTTCAGCTGCCAGTTCCCGGCGTGGATGACGTCATCGTCGACGTGGCACACGCTGGACTTCAGCACCAACTACACGTTCCACTCGCGCAACAACACGCTGCGCATCGCCAACCGCACCGCCGCCGCCGACGACAAGGTCTACTGCGTCAGCGTCAAGGCCAGCTCGCCCAGCGGCAACTCCGTCGCGCTCGTCGCGCACTGGCAGCACCACTGGTGAGTGCCCGCGCCCGGCACGTCACTGCTCCGTGACGTGTCGTGTGACGTCACATGTGTCGCAGTGTGTCGCGCTACGTGTGCGTGGTGCTGTACCGGCGCGACGCGCAGCTGGCGGAGCTGCAGCGCGGCGCACCCGCAGCGCGCCCCGACGACGCCTGCTCGCCGCACCACTTCAACGCCGTCACCGCGCCCTACGTCACACTCGTCGGTCGGTGATACACTGCTTTCAACCATATTTCTATCACACGATTCGAGCGAACTATCGTCACCTAAATTTTTGTTACAGCTAGCAATCCTGAATCGAAAGTTTGTCCATATTCTGGCAAATACAGTATACAAAGTCATCGACATCGGCGGACAGCGCGATCGCCTCCCGATAGGGTGTTAAAAGTGAACCGCACCAGGTCGTTCACGTTCAGCGTGAGGAACGCGTCGGATGCCCGCATGCTGCGCAGCCGGCGGCAGGCGGAGGCCGAGCCCGCCTGCGCCGACGCGGACTACCACCGCCTCGAGGTCGGCTGCAACTCGCCCAGGAACATGGAGTTCTACTCCACCTGCGAGAACAGAGACATGGTTACAGGTACGGTTTGTCTTACCATATAAATTCATAGTCCTATGTTCTATTCTAGTCTGAGGGTGTTGGTATTTTTGGAAAGCTATTGAAAAGTAAAAGATTAATGTGACAGTGTAGATTGTTATACTTTATGAACTGTTAAATTAAACTTTTCATCATTTTTTTTAATTTCTTTCGTCATTGAAGTTTGTCAGTCAAAGGACAAAGTTGTTCGACCATCGATTTAAACTGCTCTATTTATTTGCAGCGTACACGTGCCACGGCGGGTGGTACGAGAACGGTCTGTCGTTCGTGGTGGCGACGCCGGTGACGCGGCGCAGCACGGCCGCGCGCCGCTACTGCTTCGTGTCGCGCGACGCGGCGGGCGCGGCGGGCGCGGGGGGCGGTGCGGGCGGCGGCGCGGGGGACGCGGCTCGCCTGCTCGCGCGCTCCGCAGACAACTGCGACCGCAGCCCCGCGCTGCACGCGCTCAGCGCCGCGCCGCAAGGTAACACAGTATTAAATGTCAAACAACCATTTACAAACATTGTTACAAAAAATTATTTACTGATCAAAACCTTTTACTAGGAAGCGAAACATATTTTGAAATACGTGACGAAAAATCTGCGTTCCATTTCCCCTTTTTTACGAAGTTCCCGGCAGTTACAGGCGTTAATTCAAAATGGCTTAATAGTAAATAAATCATACTAATATTATAAATGCGAAAGTTTAATGGACATTAGAGTTGCAGTTTAAATAGCTGAACGGATTTCAATGAAATTTGTTACAGTTGTGAACGATAGTCTAGAAGAATACAAGCTCACCTTTGTTTTGTTATCTCCATGCGGACCGAGTCGCGGGTGACATCAGTGTTGCATATATTCTCTTATTAATACGTTATTATTTTTCAGGAGAATGTCAAGATATACCCAACAGGCAGGGGGCAGCGCGGCTCAGCACGCGCCTGCTCCTGGCCATCGCCCTGCTGCTGCTCACGGACAGGTGATTCACAACACAGCTTCCTGACTCCTTGGTCGCGTACTCCTTGCTATATGCAACATACGTTTTTTCTTCGTCACATCCTTCGTGAACGATTGATCTAATTTTTTTTTTAATATTTTTATGTACACTGTCTTTAAAAAAGGACATATGATTATGATATTTGTATTTTATTTTGTATAAAGTAAGTTAAATGCCTTATTTAAAAATGTGTGTATATCTTGTTATAATCTTAATATAGATAGACAGAATGGCTTCAACAAATCATAAATAAGTAGATAAGCACATTAAATATTGCCAACATTGCATTTATATCAGCAATTTTAAACACACAATACAACGTTTGAATAATTTTAAGCAGAGAAAAATAACTTGCAATGTAAAATATAATTTATATCTATATTCGACTCTCGAAATACTTTTTTTTAAACTAAACTAAACTTTTTAAACCAAACTTGAAATCAATTTCTGCGTAGTGTTGCCATATTGAATTGTCTATGGTATTAAATGTTTAATGCAACAGTTGACAGAAATTTGGTGCAAATGGTTGTGAAATTTAATCGTTGTCTCAGAATTAGACGACACATAATATACAGATTGTTTTATTGTAAATTTTGTAATTAGTATTTTGCTTATTCCGCTGATTAGGTGAAAATGTATTTTATGTGTTCTGTTTTAAATTAATTGCTGTTTTCATGTACATACCCAATCATTGATTTGTAATTTTCATTTATTTCATTGTTTTTTTCTTCTAATTACAAAGTGTTATAGTCTTTGTGCTCCGAACGAGTGACATTTTTATCCACTGTAAACCGATTATCATTTCTTTTGAGTAGTAAACTCTTTGTCTTAGAAAGCAGTTATTTTGAAGGTGTACATTGAAAATGATAACTGACAGTGGCTTTATTTTTCTAACAAAATTTAAATATAAGTAACCTTATCATAATTGTTTAATGCATGTAAAATAAGCATCAAGTAAGACTGTATCATTCGAAAATATTTTTATTGTATACATTTGTTGAATATAGGCAATTAGCACTGTATGTAATCAGATATACAACCTATGTAAACATTCGTAAACACAAATTTTCACACATGAAGCTTAGAAATATGTACAAAATTATTGTTATAACGTTAAAACATGTAGCTAGAATAATTTAGCTGTATTTCTTTACGATGCTATGCAGACAAAATATGATTTTATTTTATGTGTTTACTGTAATTTCAATTAAAAAAAGTTTATTTATTATTTATAACTAAAATTGATTTTAAACATGATTTGACCTAGGAATTTCGCAGCCAACAAAGATTTGTAGCAACTTTTCGATGAGTTATTTTACAGTTTAACGACACTTGTATTTAAAATATTGCTTTTAATACTTGTAGTTTTACTTTAGTAAAGATGTAAATCGTGTTTGCGTGGCGGCGGGCGGCGGGCGGCGGGCGGCGCGCCGCGTCCGTCACGAGGCGCCATGTGATGGCGGCCGCGGGTAAAGTGCGTTCGCGCGTTCTAAGGAAAGCAATGTTTTCCTTCATCAAGCAATACTAAAATAATTAAGATTAGTTCATAGTATATACATTTAGGTAAGCGAAGAAAAACGAATACACATTTTGAGATAAATGTATAGTTAACTAGATAGATAAGTTTGAATTTAGATACTGAATCGCGACAGCAATAATATATTTGTATTTAAAGCTATTGAGCGTTAAATTTTTTAATAGACTGTAGTTAGTCAGTTGTGAATAATTGATTTAGTATTGTTATTTTTGAACGTGTCAGAGATTATTTCATTTTGGAAGCGGATCTTTGTAAAAAAATAATTTCCTTTGATTTTTTAAAATAGGAAATTGTTTTTCTATGAAGGAGCGATATCGGGGTTTCCAGCGTGTGATATACCTAGGTACATCTAAATTAAGTATATAGTCGTCAGCATGAATTATAATAAACAGCGAAATAATGAACTGGTTTGTTATTTGCCTAATCCCCTCCCTGTAAGATAATTACTATATTGAATAGATGTATAAGCCCAAAAGAGTTCTCTTCCGCTCTTATTTAAGTACGAGTTCGATACGTACAAAACTAAAACAGCTAAAAGGAATCTAGGTTCTTAGTTTATATTGAATCTGATACACGATATGTAACTTCACAAAATGAAAACACGCATCGCAGACACATGATGATTAAATTAATCCCACTCGAAAAAGGTAATCTATGTTTTGGGTAAAAACCCAAGTTAATAAACTTATTAACTCTCCTATCATGTAAGATAAACCAAGACTAGCATTTTCATTACGGTTTTTATTTTTTTTAACATAGCGCCATCTAGTTTTAGTTTTGAATAAGAAGTTGCAATTGTAGAGCCAAAATCTATGGTTTATTAAAATTTAATTTTTGCCACATATTATTTTTCCTTAAAGCTGTTTATTGTGTTTTTTTTTCAATATTGTTTGTTCGCTTAATCATTAAAAGAACTTAAATCTTGTAATTAGCAGTCAAAGTATTTAACATCTATTCTGCAAGCTAGCAAGAACAACATTCTTGTCAAAAGGTGCTACCAACATAAGAAATTGTTATGTCATGTGGACTTTATTGAAGTTGTAAATGACAATGCCAATGCTCCGTTGCTTACTTTCTGCTATCCTTACTTTGGCTCAACGCGCGTCGTTGGTAAATTGGATTGTTATTGTGATATAAATAAACTGCGTTACACCCGTGTATAAAAAACAAACGCAAGTGTAAATGAAAAAGTGTTCAGGTCACAAACAGGTTTAAGATACAGAGATGCGGAGAAATATGTGAAAGTGACAGTCGCGTAAAATAGACTCTTTTTCTTTTTGTCTGCATAACAATGTTTCGCATAGTTTCAAGTACCGCCACATAAATATTGTGGTGGACGTTGAATATGCCGATGCGTACGTTCCGAAGGAACACCTGAGCACTATGTTTGAAGCGGGATAAACGCGACTTGCGTTATCACCAGTTAGAATGCAAGACGAGTGCATAGCGGAGGAGGCGAAGTGCAACAGCGCGTTCGAGCGACGGAAGCCCACTAAGGTGCTGAAGATCGCTGAAAGCTTCACGAACCTCGATGAGACTGCTAAAGCGGGACGCTATATTCGGGGCCCATACTCGAAAACGGGCCGTAGGTACAGGGATGTGCAAGAAAACGGTTGTAGGACGAAACGCGGTGTGTGTTGTGAAAATGAGTGCGAGGAGTCGAGTGTTTGTGAGGATAGTGAAAAAGTAGGTGACAAAAGAGTGACTGGGTCGTCGTGTACCGCGCTGCGTACCGCCGTCGCCGCGCTCTACCCCTTTGACGACTTCATACTCGAGAAGATTGGAGAAGGATTCTTCTCTGAAGTTTTCAAAGTAAGTTATTCTTTTCTCCTAATAGACAATTAATATAGGTATATGATATTGAAAGCATAAAGTATCCTAATCATTTTGTCTTTTATGTATTTTATTTAACATAATTACCTCATTATATCCTCTATATCATATCTAATCTACCAATTGTTAATTGAGAATTTTCTATCAAAACAACAGGCATTGTGAGTTAGTTTGTTTACCATACAGAAGTGATTTGTTTTTATATGTTAACTGAATTTTTCATCACAACAGATTAGTGAACAAGTACTAAATGATACAACCAGAATTAATTTCTTTGGAAAAAAACAACATATCACCATCATTTACAAATTCAAAAACCAATGAGTAGGTTGTTTTAGTTTAACCGTTGATAAAATCTTAAAAGAAATGAACATTTCTAATGTTGCCAAAACAAACTTACATTACATTTCAACTATACAAAGTGCTTTTATTTCTCCAAAGTTTTTTATATAAATTACTATGGATATTCCTACATTTTGTGATTGAAGAAATTGATTTATATGAGTATGTTGGTGCAGACTTTAAATTTATTCACAGAACTGACCATAGTTATTTTCTGTACATATGTTTGTAAAGTCTAAACCTTTTTCTGATTTTGAAAACTAATTTACACGAATTAAAGCCAGCTACACACCTTTAATTATGACTGCGCAATTGTAATGGAACAGGAGAAATGTACAGTTAAATAGTATGCATTTATAGAAAAAACTGATAACTGTACAATTAGTCTCTAAAAAAACATTGCAGTTCAATCTAAAAATGTGCAGCAGCCTTAAGTGATACATTTGAGTACCGAAATTTCTAATATTATCTGTCCGGTGAAATGCATGAGACTGCTTTATCCATGTCAACGGTCTGCATGTAGGCAGGATGCCAACTTAAGAATGTTAGGTATACAGAAAGTGTAGCCAAAATTTTGATATCCTTTGCCAAACATATTGCAAAAGTATCTTGATAACAATCTATATAAAATTTGAGAGTTATTTGTCTGGTTGGTGATATCAGAATCTATAAATAGGTTTGAAGAAGTATTTTCATATAAGCACAATAAGTTTGATGTAGATTCCGATAAAATATGCTCTAATGTGAAAATGCTGTCTGTAGCACGCTTTAATATCAGGCTACATTTAATGTGTAACGGTGTGATGGATAAAACCGCAGGGCATAGCTAGTCTTTAATACTCTGTAAACAATTGGTCATAGGTTTATTTTTAAAAAGACAGGTTTATTGATCTTTGGCAAGAATTTGGTCATTGCATAATTAATGTTTGGGTATTGTAGATTTAGTAGTAAGTTTCCTTTTTATTAAGTGTTCTGGTTTTATTTTTCATTAATTTTGTACTTGTGAATCTGATTTTATTCAACACTAGCTGTGGCTCGCGACTTCGTTAGCGTGAAATTAAAAAAGTATACCATATGGTACTCAGTAATAACATAGCTTTTTAATGGTACAAGAATTTTTAAATTCATTAGAGTTGTCCTTGAGTTATTTCTATATATACTCAAATCCAAAAATAAAAATCTTTAAAATATCAGTATAGGTAATCACATTATTATTAGCGAACTGAATGGTCTCACAAGATTTTTAGATTTTTAAACAAGAATTTTAAATTCATTACTTCACACAAACTTTGGTAAATCAAGACTTGTGGTGATCTAACATTGACATACTGTGTGTTTATTTTGTTGATAAAGGAGGTGTTCACTCTGGCAATAGTATATAGTGCTGTAACCCAAACAGGGTAGTGTTGAGATCTATTTAGGTGTGACCATTGTACAATTTGTTTTTACAAGTCAATGGAAGCAAAGTAAATTGTCCATTCAACAGTGTCGGACTTCCGTGCGCGGTGCGGGGGTGCGGGGGAAGGAGCGCTGACCTTAGTATTGACCTTGGTTTGCACCACGCTACCGCCAGGCGCCACTTGAGTCACGCCCAACCAATGCTTTGAATGCGAATTTTGATGATTCGTGTTTGTCATCCTTTTATATGTTTTTTATAGTTGATATTTTAAGGTTTCGCGTGATCCTTTAATTCATAAGAGGGTTATGTTTTGGTTATGTGTTTCGTATTTCTTCAAATCTTACCTCCAGTAAACAGTAGAATTTGATGTATAAATTAATTTTATTCGTCCTTTTCCTCATATATTAATAAGTTCGAGATTAAAGTGTTTTGAATTAATACATTTTGTTATACTTAGCAATTCTTGTATGAGGACGGCTTAATTCTCGCTTAAAACTGTCCTGCTGGCTTGCTGTTATGACAGTAGATAACACTGTTGCCATACGCAATTCGAGTCGATTATATTTACGAATTTGTTAAAAATCAAGCATTTATAATTTATAGACATAAAAGTGGTGGATATTTAAAAGTGACTATTTGATGTACGAATTTATAGTCAAAATACAGTCTGTATTCATGACTACATGCTACATCATACGTCTGACCAGGATATAAAACATCGATGACCAAAATTATTGATTACAATCAATTTATAAAACAATAGCCCCTTTAAAGTTCATTTTAATGGTTTTTGTTTATGATAAAAATGGTCCTTTGTGACTTAAAAACAATCAAATTAATTTGGTAATGAACAATAGGTTCAAATTGGTCACAAAATGACTTCATAGGACATCACACTTTAGGGTCATCAAGTAAACAAAACGAATTACAATTGTTTTTGTCATAGGGCATGTCATCAGTAGTCATTTCATAGCGAATTTATAGCTTTTTATTAATCCGTTATCTGGTATGGTATGGTAAACAATTTTCTCGATTAAATAGCTTGTTTAATTCATAAAATAGCTGCTGTATACAGATTACAGCTTATAGAGATTTTTCTTGTCTTTGTGTCTTCGCGATTGATGGTAAACTTCATAAAACTAATATGTTTTAATTGTTATTACGGACACTGGTGGTTATATCTGAGGATAATGCGAAGCGTGACCGGCGTGTTAGTGAGGACGACGACACGGCGTGCTTCGCGCGTGACATCACTCATTAGCGCGTGTTTGCCGTTTGCGGCTAGCTTGCCACCCCTAGTTGCTACCTACACAACACTGATTTAAATCGATTTGTAGTAACGTAATAGTTTTCGGATAATAATACAGATGAGTTGATAACCTTATGTTGGAAAGTTGGTTGTTGGTACAACTCAAATTTTACAAATCTATTTACTGTGAGCTGTCCCCCGCAAACTTCGTTGCCGCAGATTTGGACCACCTGTTACGCCATTTTAAAAACTTATTAGTCCAATAAGAATAAAAATTCATATTGACCGTAATCGAATGGTGTGTGATTTCAACTTAAGTTTATCTGAGTTTTGTTGAAACCGTGTATACATCCGACCTGGCATGATCCCATCCCATCGACATCCCATCGATTGAACAACAATATATTAAAGCCGGTGCCGTGCCGGTGTGAGCTGAGTAACGCGACCTTCTATTCAATTGTCAATCGGCATTCGATATTGTTATTGTAACGTAAATAAATCGATCAGTCGTGCGACTGGTCTTCCGACTGTGTCGGCCTTGCGCTATCACTGGTGATTCAACGATGCCCGATACGTCCATCTTTTGATGTATTTCAATACGCATTAATTATAAACATTTGAATCATAATCCATAAATAAATGTATTTGTTGATTGTAAATGTTGCTTGCTCAATAATTAAATTCTGTGGCTTTATTTTTTATAAAACACTGACGGAATATCGTAGCGGTATCGATCCTGGAAATTAGTGTATAAAAAGCCAAAAATATGATTTTTTTACTTTCATTTTTGATATATTTTGAGTCATTTATCTATGCCTATTAGTTTGTAAATTGAGTTTATTTTATTTGAGATTCGTTCGTTCCAACTCAAAGCTTACTTCGGAATGATTCATTTCCGTACTAGACATTTGACGCTCGCAAAGAAATACGTCTCCAAAAGAATAATGTCTTAGGGAAATGGGAAGCTCGTCGACTAAGCGACAGGGAAGTGTCCGATTTGAATAATATTGTGTTCCCAGTGATGGCTTTATTCAGATTTTGTTGTGTAACGCTGAGGAAATTGTCATTATGTATCCGAAATACATATTTTTTTCTATATGTAGATATTTTATGAATGTCAAATGGTTTTAATATTATAAAAAATGAAATCAAATATATGATAGATTTATCGATTAATTATTATTGTCAGGTTTAGATAAGGAATAACAAATAGTGTTTTGACGTTTTTAAAGGTAAAGATTCTTGTTTTTTCTATTAATTATTTGTGTTTTGTTATTAAAATTATTATATATTTATAACATTAATTAACGTTCGTCTTTATATTGTTTGCAAGCTAAAATAAGTAAGCTAAGTTTTTTATACTCTTGTTTGTCGGCAAATATAATGTGTATAAATGGTTTACAGGATGTTGGTTAAGGATCAAAATGTATCTATAAATAAACGATTTTTATTGATTGAGCAGTGAACTAGTATATCCTGTGTTGTCGCACTGTTGGTTAATTAATTAGGCATCTGAATGAAGAAGCCGCCCGACTCGATACTCCGGTCGGGCAATTACCCCAAGCCGTGTAGATACAATCATTTTAACGTCATTTCATGCTACGGGAACTTATTGTAATTGAAACGTGTCGACATCGTGTTACCTCTGTTTTATGTATGTAAAATTACGCATGTTATAATGTTATTTATTGCAATAAATAACAAATTAGATGTTTTGTCAGATCTTCACGCTCATTCCCATATTTATTATTTAAAATAACTAAAATCTACTGTTTTTTATTAAGTCTAATTTCGTCTCTGTACATCTCTGGGTTAACGGTTTGCAAATCAAAAATTATAAAGAACGAGGTGATTGTGTTCAACCATAGACTTGCAATCGCTCAGAAGAGACCTATGTAAGTCACGTGTTTGTAATCCCGATAGAGCTGACGCGCGCTCGACAGCTGCTTCTGTTATCTGTACTGCAGATGTTTGACGCAAGATAACAAC